TTCAACAAATCCTCAATCTAACGCTTCAAGAGCGTCTTTTTGGGGTTCCGAAGCGGAAGCCGAAAGGCCGCGAGCTGACCTCCGCTGCGTTGCCGCAGCGACTGGCAACAGGAGACTCTCAGCCTCTGGGTTTAGGGTTTAGGGTTTAGGGTTTAGGGTTTAGGGTTGTGCCCTAAACCCTAATCCCGAAACCCTAAACCCTGAACCCTAGTTAACGAGAGTGAAGGAGAGGGGGGTTGGAGTTGCTTCGAAGATGTAGGGCTTAAGAGGATTTGTTTGCTTAGGCTTGACATGAGGACTGAAAGGAACAGCAAACTGGTGCTGTTTCTTGGGGGGTTAGGGTTTAGGGTGTGGCAAGAGTTGAGGTACATCTGCCACATGCAGCACACAAGTGTGTTCACGAAGGCGAATCTCGCCCATCAATAATTGCCTTCTATACTGCCATGACCAGAACTTAGATACGCTAAGAACTCACCAACCCTCCAACTGCAGACAGAAACATCAGCGACGCCGCAGGATCTAGCAACCCATTTGCAGGAACGTCGAAGGCCTATCTTAGTCCAGCGTTTGGCCCTCTCAGACACGTCTCGGCCTACAGGAGCTGTCCTAGAAGAGCTGGAAGCAGCAGACAATCGTCTGCATTTTCGGCGGCTGGTGGGCACTGGGCCTGATGAAGGACCTCGGTTAGGGTTGTGTTGCTCCGTGCTTCCAAGGCTTTGAGGCTTTGAGGTTAGTGTCAAGAAACTGCTGGCAGTTCGACGAGCTGGAGAGCTCTCAAAGCTCCAGGTTTATGGTAGCCAACTCTAAACTTCCGAAAGGTAACTTAGGGGCTGGGTAGTTATCCTTTAACATTTTCGTGATACAAGTGATATATATATATATATATATATATATTTATTTATCAATATCATCCAAGCACAAATAAAAGGGTTAACCTTGTGTGGGCTAGGGTATTCAACGCCACTTCCCAAGAATCAGCGGCTGGCCACCCCAAGAGAGGTCCATGCCATCCAAGGGCGCGTGAAAACTATTGCTTGCGTTACTGGAACTCATGAAAAAGGAGAAGAGAGGGTTAGGGTTCAGGGTATAGGGTTTCGGGTTGCAGTGTCTGGGTTCAACAAGGTTTAGGGTTTGAGGTGTAGGGTTTAGAGCAGCGAGGGCAAGCGCAGCGCGCTTGGGCTCCTCCGCAAGAGAGACATGCAGGGATTCCTCCCAGTGTTGAGAAGTTGAAAGCCGCCCAAAGCCTGAAATGCTGCAAGGAAACCCTGCAATGCCCGGCTCAGGGGGTTTATGAGTTTAGGGTTACCCTAAGCCCTAAACCCTAAACCCGAAGCCTCGCATTCCCGGAGGCTGGGTCTCCATTGCAGTGGCGGGCAAGCGCCTTCTTTCCCGGGCCGAGGAGGCGTTCTCAGGAACTTGGGAGGCGCCGGGGCCATCGGGTTTAGGGTTTAGGGTTTAGTGTTTTGACTGGCAGTTGTTGCCGGCAGCCTCAGTCCGTGCTTGAAAAGGGTTTTGGCTGCCCAAGCCCGGATGCAAAAGTGTGTTGCTGAAGAACCTGACCCGTGTCGCCCCACCCCCCCCCCCACCCAGAAAAAAAACCAAAGATCATTCTGCCATATGAGGGCAACAGAGATTCTTGCTTGTCATCTGTTGGTGCTGGTGTGCTCCACGCTGTTGTTCGGCTGTTCGGGTGAGTTCCGTCCGCTGCATGTGGTAGGGAGGGAGAGGGAGGGAGAGAGAGAGAGAGAGAGAGAGAGAGGGAGAGCGTCCCATTTCAAGCGTGCTGGAAAACCCACCCTACAACCCGAAACTCGAACCCCCCCCCCCCCCCGCCTCCTCCTACGAAAAATCGAGAACAAGCAGCCTTGTCCAGCACCAGGATGATGAGGGCACCGAGGCCTCGCAAAAGGGTTTAGGGCTTAGGGTTTAGGGTTTTGGGTTGGGGGTTCATCGGGGGGTAGGTACCTAGGGGGGAACCTTAGGGAAGCTTAGGGAGCCTTAGGGGGTCGTGGGCCCTTGAACTTCCCTCCCTTAAGAACCCTCTTAAAAAAAAGAAACTAGGTAGGTCCTTGGGATACTTTGCCCTTATGGGTTTAAGAGGATCATATTCAGGAATATTGTTCAGAGGGTTTAAGGGGCCATCCTAGAAAATGACTTTAGGGCTTCAAAGTAGGGTTAAAGGTTTGAAGGGGGGCCGACCTTTTAGAATATTTTTGGGCTTAAGCAGCTCCAAATTCCAAAGCCGCATTTGGGCTTGGAAAGCGGAAGCTCTTAAGCCGTGCCTACTTACATATACGAGATCCCAAGCCGAAAGCCCTAACCGCTCTGGGCCCTAAACGGCAAAAGGCTTAAACCCCAAACAAAACAGCCCCGAAGCCCTCCAGCGCACTCCGAACGCCCACACCCCCAGGTGGTCATCGAAGGCCTGTTGATGCATGGCCTTGGCACCTCGCTGCCGCTGGAAGTCTCCGGCGTGCGCATGTGTTCCTTCAAGACTTCGGGGGGCTGGAGGGGGACGTAGACGTAGGACTAGTTTCGCAGAGGGCTCACAGACGTTAACCGGTGAACACTCACCAAGCCTCCAACAAGAACCATGTAGCTTGCGTCCGCCCTTGTCTTGTCTTGTGCAAAGCCGAAAGTTAGGAACCCTCAGAAGCCTTATAAGGACTTAAGGATTACAATGTAGGGCTTTTTGCTGCGAAGGATGAGCGGCGAAGTGTTCCAGGGACGGCTCGCTCCATGGCGTAAAAAGGGTTTAGGGCTTAGGGTTTAGGGCTTAGAGTTGTAGAATGGAGTTATGTTGTGCTTGCGCACAAATTTGTCGGCTTTTTGTGGTCCCCTAAACCCTAAAAGCCCTGGCGTCTATTGGTGGTCGGAAGTGGTCGGAAGTCGTCACGCCTGCGCGGTGTCCTCATTAGATGAGCACGTTTGTTTCGCCCCCCGTTTCCATCCTCCTTAGCACTTTCGGTCGACGTACATTGCATCCCTTCAGCGTAGTTGCAGGTGGCAAAACACCCCAAGCTCTTAACAGGCCTTCCAAGGTTTGAACGCCAGGTCGTCTAAGATTCTTTTGCCCACCTCAGAACCGCATAAAGTTCAAACTCGAACGGTAAGTACTCCAGGAGCCCAGGGTAGGCCTTCAATACCTTCTTGTTAGGGTTTATAGGTTCCCTTACACCCTAAACCCTAACCCTATATCCTAAACCACGGTATTTCATGAGAATTAAACCCTAAACCCTAAACCTAAACCCTAAACCCTAAACCGTGAGAATGAAGCCTTTTGCGTCATCGAGGCTCTTGGGCGATGGCCGCCTTCTCTGGAGTGATGGGGCACTCTGGTGCCGCAAGGCAATGGAAGGCGGCACAAGCTTCGGGTCGTTTAGGCTTTGCAGGGTTTAGGGTTTTGGGTTTAGGGTTTAGGGTTTAGGGTTTAGGGTTTAGGGTTTAGGGTAGGGGTTTAGGGTTCTTTGGCATGGCTGGAACGGCAGTGCTTCAGAATTTCACTGTTGCTTCAGGGACACCTGGGGTTGTCGGTGCCTAAACGAGTGTAACAGAATAGCGCAGAAAAGAACCCATCGAACCCTAAACTAAACGGTCCTTCTTCCGATGTGGCGATCGTGTCTGGGTAATTGTTATTAATATTCTTTCCTAGGTGTGGGTTTCTTTCGGCAAGCCCCGCTTCTCTACCCCACCCCCACCCCCACCGCCCAAGCCCCCGCACAGACAAAAAAAACAAGTAACAGCTACATGTGTGTGTATATATATATGTATATAGAGCATAATTACAGATCTCAAATTGTAGATACACTTCTGTACACAGAAGCACGATACACATTCTGTCCCGCAAAGCCAAGACAAGACTCAACACGCGCACCCCTGAACCCGACATGCATGCAAGCCCTGTGCTCTAAATTATTGTGTTTCGGTGTCGTTTGTTGTGTTTGATTTTCGTGCTTGCTTGCTTGCTTGCTAGCTTGGGATGTTCCCCCTTATACTAACAGTCCTTACTAGAGATTACAGTACCGCCCTATGACAATGCCTATGAAGGACTGTTCGTTTAAGGGGGAGCATCCCCATGTTTCGCGGCCACACCGCTGCTGTGCTGCAAAGGCAGCATGGAGGCACGTACCAGCACGTGAACCCTAAACCCTAAACTAAACCCTAAACCCTAAACCCTAAACCCCTAAACCCCTATAAACCCAAGACTCCGTGTATAAGGGCTTATAAGGGGGGAACATCCCAACCTAGACCCTAAACGGCCCTGAACCCTAAACCCCTAAACCCTAAGCCCTACACCCTAAACCCTAAAACCCTAAGTCCTATACCCTAAACCGCCCTAAACCCTTAAACGCTTAAACCCTCAGGCCCCAACAAACCCGGGTCTCAGGAGGCTCCCTCAAACCCTAAACCCTAAACCCTAAACCCTAAACCCTACAAACCCGGGGCTCAGGAGGCTTGCTTCACTGCGAGGAGGCTATGGGCTCCACGCCGGCGCAAAGTCGCCTGGCGAAGGCCCGGGCGTGATTTTGGTTGATCTTGGGGGTCTAAGCGTTTAGGGTTTAGGGTTTAGGGTTGAGGGTTTAGGGTTTAGGGTTTAGGGTTTAGGGTTGAGGGTTTAGGGTTTAGGGTTTTTGGGTTCAGGGTCCAGGGGTCGATGGCGGGCCGAGGAAGCATGTTTCAAAAGACCACGAAAACTCGGGAAGTGAAGTTCTTGAAGCTATGGAGTTCCAGCTGCTTCAGGGCTGCCGAACACCAGCTTGAATTTCAAACCCTAAACCCTAAACCCTAAACCCTAAACCCTAAACCCTAAACCCTAAACCCTAAACCCTAAACCCTAAACCTTAAACCCTAAACCCTAAACCCTAAACCCTAAACCCTAAACCCTAAACCCTAAACCCTAAACCCTAAACCCTAAACCCTAAACCCTGGGTGGAGGGTGGCCGTTTGCACAATCAGCCCTGGCCAAGGCCAAAGCTAAGCCCGGCGCCGGGGCCTGAGGAATGGCCTTCTATCCTGGGAGAAGTCGGTGCTCCATCCGAGCTCCCATATAGCCATATGAAGCAGGGTTTATATGACTGTTATTGGTGAGTGTATATAAGGTTCCTTTTTAAAGTTTGTGAGTGTATGTACCTGGTGTCCTTTTGGGGGTACAAGAAATATATACCCCACTTCATGTAGGCCTGAGGGTTGTTCGGAAGCCCAGTTTCCTGTGCAACTCTGGCAAGACAGAAGCTTCAGCCTAAACCCTAAACCCTAAACCCTAAACCCTAAACCCTAAACCCTAAACCCTAAACCCTAAACCCTAAACCCTAAACCCTAAACCCTAAACCCTAAACCCTAAACCCTAAACCCTAAACCCTAAACCCTAAACCCTAAACACTAACCCTAAACCCTAAACCCTAAACCCTAAACCCTAAACCCTAAACCCTAAACCCTAAACCCTAAACCCTAAACCCTAAACCCTAAACCCTAAACCCTAAACCCTAAACCCTAAACCCTAAACCCTAAACCTTGCCTCCGTGCTCGCAAATCCCAGCCTCCGTCGGCGCAGCCACAAAATCACTTCTGAGGTCAAGTCCGATGCCCCTTTGAGGCCGCGGGGTGCCGATGGGCGAAGGCCTGTGACTGTTTAGGGTTTAGGGTTTAGGGTTTAGGGTTTAGGGTTTAGGGCTTAGGGCTTAGGGTTTAGGGTTTAGGGTAAGGCCTGTGACTTGCAGTCTGTGTTGGAACTCCTTGGTGTGCGTGTGTCCTGCGGCTCCGAAGAGCTTCCTCCACCCTCCTCCCTCCTCCCCCGGTCTCCATCTCCCCTTCCCCCGCGGACATTGCACGGACACCCGGTTATACCATGTCCTACCACACTAGCCGCTCCGCCGTACCAAGTTGTGCTGTGGCACGCGAAAACTATCCGGACCCAAACCTGGAGAAACCGCGCCTGACAAGAGATCGGGTGGGTTTCCACGCAAGGCATCTTGCAGCGTGCTAGGTTTGGATTTAGGAGATTTTGGGTTGAATCTCGCCATTGAGTTGTGGTTGTGTTCGTGCTTGCGTAGGCTTCGAGGTGTTGTTGGAGGCAAGCAAAGTTGGCTGCATTGAATATCGGTCCAGTTGGGGACGCTCACATATGTAAGCCACTTGAGAAGCACCATCCCCGCCCAAAAATAAACAAAAAAAACAGAAACGACAGTGTCGTCGAAGTGTTTGGGGCCTTGCTATTGTCGCGTTTGGGCTTTGGGGGGCGCATGCAGGTTGGTTCGTCTTTCGGGGCTGGGGGGGGGGGGGGGCGGTAGGGAGTCTATGTCTTACTTACAGAATGAAACAGTTCAGAACTTCAAAGAACTTCAAATGCTAAGCCCGAAACCCTCAACCCTAAACCGGTGGCTCAAGCAAACCCTAAACCCTAAACCTAAACCCTAAACCCTAAGCCCTATATAAATCCATTGTGAGGCCACTACCGGAGAGAACGCTCTCGCCAAAGGAGATTTGGATAGTTGTGGACTTCTTGTCATCTGCACTGGCGTCCCAAGTATCGGCCCTTACTTTGGGGGCCCGTTGTATACCCCCTGCATGACAAGGGCCGATACTTCGGATGTTTTTGGACAAGGGTAAGGGGCCATGCTAAAGACTAAAGGGCGAATCTACACTGGGGTTTCGAGCTAGTGACGGCCAGCGGCTAGTGCTTGGGTTGGGGATTCTCAGGCAAGGGGCGTGGGACTTCGTGAGTTTTAGAGCTTGGTGCAGTCAAGCCCTTCAAAATCTCAGACGCAGCCAGGAGATCGTTGACACTTGGCAGCCACGTAACAGGCTTCGTCATAGGTGCACGCGACTGCATCTTGCTTTCAGATCGTGAAGGCTTGGTGTTTAAAGGGTCAAGCTGGGGAATGAGGTACCCTACAGAATCCCTTAATACGTATATATAGGGCCAATCCCTTAACGCGTATATATATATATATATAAGGGCCCTAGTTCCCTCATTCCCCACGAAGAACCAGGGGGTTAAAGGGTCAACATGGTTCAGGTGTGGGCTGGGCATTTTAGGGAAGGTATATGGCGCGCGTGAAGCCATCGAGCCCAGTTGGGCATGCTGGGGTTTTGGGACCATTGCTGTTTTTAGGGTTTATGGTTTAGGACTGGGGGCTCCAACAAGTTGTAGCCCTGATTTCGACTTGAACATTTTCAGGCACTTGAAAGCAGTCACAGTTCCACGTGTGCATTGTCGGCAACAGCTTTCGTAACGGTCGAGGGCTAGCCATCGAATCGTGAATTTCGAAGCCTGTCTGCGTCTCCAGCTTCTCAGAAGTTGAAGCACAGGGAAATGGTATCGGCTTAACGGGCACTTGTCTTGACGCTGACGAAGAAAGGCTGATCTCCCTAGACCCTAAGCCCTAAACCCGAAACCCTAAACCCTAAACCCTAAACCGATAACCCTTAAACCGCCTAAACCCTATTCAACCAAGGAATGGATCGCAGAAGCCGCCGATGTCTTCGAGACAATGCTGCTGCCCCTGGAGGTGGAGGGTTTCAAGGTTTAGGGTTTAGGGTTTCAGGGTTTTAGGGTTTAGGGTTTCAGCCTTTCAGTTTTGTTTAGCTATGAGTTTTTTTTCTGTGATCATTGCTAGAATGACTTAGATCATTCCTTTGGTTATCACAATTACTATACTATCACTATGACTTATTCCTGTAGTCTCATAGCTTGAGCTGAGCTGAAGTGCTGACTTCCACTCTTGTTGCCGTGCATGACTCAGCGTAGTTCTGATGGGCAATGAATCGGCCAGCCATGGGCCAACGATGTGCTTTATATTCCTATGGGCCCATACGCAAACGCCTCATAGCGACATGTAGCCACGTGCGTGTCCGGCATCCATCTAGTCCCGAGAGCTGCGAGCATCATGCGGTCTTGAAAGCCTCCCGACGGAATTGTGTAGGAATGCAGCCCTTGGTAGAAATCCACGTGCTTTGGGAAGGCTGTGAAGTGGAGAGAGATCCTAAATGGTAGTGCTGGATGTGGGATGAGCATGCCCTCTGTCTTGGTGTCCCGAGGCGATCAGCGAGAGTCAAGCTCGACAGCAGTCACTTGAGCTGAATATTTCTTGGCTAGAAAGACTTATGAAGAGTCACGGGGCATGGGCTTGTGGGATGCAGAAGAGAAAAGGGCCTCGGCAAGTAGAGAAGCGATATGCTCACATGCTCACATGTTCACACGAAAGCACACCAGGGAGCTAATACGAGGTACAAGCAGCTCCTGCTTCTGGTTCACCCAGACAAGAACAGACAAGAAGGAGCCACAGACGCCTTCCGCGCCACTGCTGGACTTGGAGTACTCAACTGCAGTCCTTAATGGGGAGTATAATTCCCCCTGTTATAATCCCGATTAGGGACTGTCACGTATAAGGGGGGACATCCCAAGCTATTCCGCACAAGTCCACCTTCCCAGTAGTTTTTTGACTAAACCCTAAACCCTAAACCCTAAACCCTAAACCCTAAACCCTAAACCCTAAACCCTAAACCCTAAACCCTAAACCCTAAACCCTAAACCCTAAACCTTCTGATTGTTTAAGCTCACCCCCTCTTGCCTGAGGAAAGCTCTTCGATGCTTTCGCAGTTATCGTTGATCCTGCTGCGCCCCCCGGAGTCATCATTGAGGGCTGATTGGAGGGCTTCATTCTAAAGGTTGCAGGATGGAAAAGCTGGAGGCTTGAAAATGATGGCCGGTTTAGGGTCTAGGGTTTAAGGTCATGCGTTGAGATCCGCAACTTACATCCCCGGCCGACTGCCCCAAGCCCGGATGCAAAAGGGTTTAGGGTTATAGGCATAGAGCCCAAATTGTGGGAGGTCGTGGGTGTTGTTTGGAGGGTTTCTTCATGATCATGTAGCGAGAATGGCGAGGGCGCGAAAAGAACCACGCAAGCTTCGGAGTTCTGTTTGCCTCCAGGCAGCGGCGCGCGCTTTTGCGCGCGCAGGGCCGCGCGGGCGGCGAAACCAGAAAAGGTGCGGCAGAACATGGGACAGTTCCGTCAGAACAGTCGGATTTTCGGGTGTAATTCGGCTGTGCAGACTTCTGGGAGTCATTCGTTGAACCCCAAATTAATGTTTCAAATCCCGTAAGTTGATTGGCTAGTGGTTCAAGTAAGCTCCGAACATTTGGACTTGCGGGCATTGCACCTGCCCAAGTCCGAGTCGTGAGAGTCGAAGATCCCAAACATGGCACAGACCAGTCGTGAGAGTGCATTAGGGTTCAGGGTTTCGGGTTTAGCCAGGCCTTCAGGTCAAGAGTCTAAACAAAGCCTACAAGAAAAGTCCTGCAGTACTGAAACTTTGCAGTGAGGATGAGGCCCAAAACAAGCAGAGGTTTTGAGCTTTGCGGAGGGGGGCTTTTCAGCTTAGTAGTAGAGTAGGTAACCTTTAACCTTTTTGGGTTAATACATTCCCCTTATATTCCCAAAAGGTTAACCTTCAAAACCCCTAGGTCCTAAACCCTAAACCCTAAAGTACTGGACAACTGAGTAAGGGCTGCAGGGCCTTGACTTCGGGCGAGCGTGACCCTCGCCACCTTGCTGAAGATTCTTCACTCCAGAATTGCAACCTCACGGCGTGAATTAGGGGGGGGGGGGGGTTGGGGGGTTTTAGGGGGCTTAGGGTTTAGGGTTTAGGGTTTAGGGTTATCGGCCCTGTGAAGGAAGCACAAGCCACAGCTGGGGCTTTCCTGGTTTTGGCTTCTTCGAGCCTTGGGCTTAGGGCTTAGGGTTTAGGGTTTAGGGTTTAGGGTTTAGGAAGGTTTCGATTCAGCAAAGTTGCTGCTGCTCCGTGGTGGGATTGTGCTTTTTGAGGGCGGGTGAAGCAACTCTGCGGAAAAGTGTCCTGAAGTCCTGCAGCAGCGCAGCTGAGGATGAAAATGGTGGAGCCATGGTGCCATATTTACATTTTTGTTTGTTGGTTTAGAAAAGGTTGCCCGCGAGAGAGAGAGAGAGAGAGAGGGGCAGCCTTCCCTTCGGGGGGGGCTATGCGTGCAGGAGAGAGAGAGAGAGAGAGAGAGAGAGAGAGAGGAGAGAAGAGAGAGAGAGTGAGGAAAGATGATCGAAACAGTTTTCACACACACATATGCTACAGGCTTGCTTGCTTCTTGTGGTTCACCCTTGACCAGAGCTTTTTCGACAAGCTACGCAATCTACAGGAGCAAGAGGGGCAGCAATGGGCAATTTCACCCGCATGTCCGTTCCTTCAACCTAGACCCTGCCACGGGTCGCGCTTGGAGGATCCGAGCTTCATGTATGCGTGTTTCAAAGGATCCCTGACATGTCAGAAGGCGCAAGAGCCTAAGCTGTTTTGCAGCCACACCTGCAGCAGCACATTCTGTGCAAGGAATTGGTGGTGTGGTTGCGGCCGTCTTCATGCAAGACAACGTCGACGAATCTGAGCGAGTGCTGCATGAGCAGAGCGAGCTGCTCGAAGCCCTTGGAAAGCAACTGGTCACAACTGGTCACAACTGGCTTGAGGCAGACATCTTGTTTTGTTCCTAGAGGGCGACCCTAGACCCTAAACCCTAAACCCTAAACAGGGTATGGCATGGTATGGCAGGGCGTCTTATGTCTTCTTGATTGTTTTGGTTGACACTCTTGGTGGGCTAGTGTACACTGACGACTAGTTTCGCCAAAAAGGTGCCTTGAACCCTTGGCCCTTTCAACCCTTCAAGGCCCCCCCCAAGCTCTCCAAGCCACATCGCGAAGGTACGATGGCAGTGACAAGACATGGGTAAGTCCCGAGACGGCCAAAGCGCTTTGGGACACCGCTTTTTGTCAGCAGGAAGACGCAGAGGTTGTTGGCATCTTATTGGGGGTCTGGGTTCTCCGGCTCTGAGGTTCTTACTGGCTCAAAACCCAACTTTTCAACTTTTGGGCTTCTTATAAGGTAGTTCATTCTGAAAGTTTCAACTTTCATTTCCTGGGTTTTTGGGCCAATAAGGGTTTAGCCAAGGCCTATACCTAGGCTAGGGCCCGGGGATTCTTTACCCTATTTCGGAGATGATACCCGAGCTTGAGTTTTAGCATGCTGCCCATGGCCCATAGTTAGGAATGTGTCCGAGCCAGCCACCGAATGTCTTTTTTGTGTTTTTTTGCTGTGGGGAGAACTCGGGCTCAACTTTATTCAGCCCTAAACCCTAAGCCATTCATGGTGGCGGGTGGCACAAAACCATTTATAGGCATGTGATGGACTGCCAAGCCGAAGTAACGTGTGTCACCATCCCTTGAGCATTTGTTCCATGTCACCTTGTGCCTACACTGGGCTTCACGTGAAGGACTCCGGATCGTGTGTGTCTCGCCTGTCTTGTCCGAGTGTGAGCGATTAAACCATGTATAGAGGGTTTGAGGATACTTAAGGACGCTGCAATTTTCGTGGACGTCCGTGATGGTGACGAGTACGACACGAGCCGCATCGAGAATGCGATGACCATAAGCTGGGGATTTGCGAACTTGGTGAGGGGAACAGAGGCGCGCACGGACCTGACCCTCCCCTTGGGCTATAGTTCGTCCTTCCAGCTTAGCTTCTTCAGCCGCCAAAGTACCGAGACCCTATAGCCTAAACCCTAAACCCTTGTCCAGGTTCAGTGTGTCAGTAAGGGTGCTTTGATTTCCTGACGTAGGTCGATGTACTTGGAGAGCCGGATGCGATGTCACACCTCCGGTCAGAAGGTGTCCTGCGCAGAAGTCCCAACGTGTCCAAACCCAAAACATTGTTAGTGCCTCGGATTCCGCCCCCTTCTTGGTGGCCCCATGGTACCGTTCACCCATTTTTTGGTTTCTGGGTCCCCTTCCAAACCAACTTAAAAAAGGGTGCCCGTATGATGATAATATAGGTGCTGGGCCCTAAACCCTAAACCCTAAACCCTACAAGAAGACACTTCCCCAGCAAAAATTGATGTGACAAGCAAGTTTCCAGTTGGAGACATATCAGTTGTCACACTGATAAGAACAGATACTACACTTGATCATAGCCAAAAGGCCGAGAAGGTATGCTCTGTATGAGGCAGTCAGACTGCCTGCAAGCTTGATGCAAAGAGACTGTGTGCACTATCTTGAAAACCCATCGACATCCCTGCCAATCCAGCTGGCGAGCGAAGCAAGCGAGACACCGGAGTAAGACATGTTTTTCGTGTCAGAAGCTGTTTTTCAATTTTTTTCCACGTTTTTTGAACTGGTGAAATCTGGAATCTGTTCTGAAAATGCAGGGTGAATTAGTTGCCGAGATTCATTCTTTTTTGTTTTTCCTCGTCGATTTTTTGAAAAAATTCTTGTTTCATGCTTTTTGTTTCATGTTTCGAATTTGAAGAGAGAACGAAACCACTCTTCTGTTTTTCGTTTTTTTTTCTATCGTTTAAACTCTTTTCTTCAAATTATTCCCTGTTTGTGCTGGACACGTTTTTTTTTTGTCTGTGTGTCTGTGTGTGTGTGTGGTGTGTGTTGCTGAGTGTGTGCGGTGTCAAGGCAGTGAGAGTATTGGAGAACCGCTCTGCACTTTTGCTTAAGAACCTCCTGGAGACCAGATGCTCAGCAATTGTTGAACTTTGCCACAAGGAAGTGGAATGTTTTTTTCTGTTTCATCTTTCAAGAATTTGAAGACCTTGCAACAGTTTGGTTGGCTGGAAAGAATCGTTCAATTTTCATGTTTTGACAATTTTTGAGCAAAAAATCAATGGCACTGAAGTGACTTTTCCGAACAAGTGAAGCTTTGAGTGGGCTTTGTTGCTCATAAAATCCTTTCTTGTTGTTTAATTCAAGGTGAACACGAAGACAAAGGCACATGAAGTTGTTTTAGTAATGTGAGATTTCCTGAAACAATGAGATCTTTCTTTCAATGGGCAGTAAAATTGGCTGCAAAAGATCCTATTTGTTAACGTGTCACTTAGTTCGGAGATCAGTTGTATAAGCATGATCATAGATCCTCTTTCCGAGAGAAAGCTGTTTCGAGTTTTCAGCATTCTCAAAGATCAGACCGGTCTGGATACTTTTGATGCCAAAGACCACCATAAGAACAATGATGTTGAGAAAGTTCTGAAATCTCGAACATTTGTTCCAAAAAAAACCCAGGTTTGGGTTTTGCGCTCAAGTGTAAATGTGGGGTTCCATGTGCATGAAAAGAAAAAACTTGCTTTTAAGAATTTTCCAGCAACTTAGCTAGCCAAAGAAGAAAGCCAAAAAGGCTTCTTCTCTTCTCTCGCAAGGAAAAGACAAAAGGCCTGCTTTGCAGCAAGGTCCCGATTTGTACCTTGAGCCAAAATGGCTACGGTGCCTCTGCACTGACCACCTAGTAATACTCTCTTGCCGGCCACAGCAGTCGGCTGCAGGTTCACTTCTGTTTTTTGGAGCTTGCTCCCGATTGCAAGCTCCTCTATGCTGGCTTTTTTTTCGGTGGAGGTGTTAGCAACTGCTCCCTCCCTGAGGTGATGCAGAGTGTATAAGAGGTACTCTTTGCACCTTTGGCCTTGCGTTGTCTGACTCCCTGAGCTCACACTGTAAGGCTACTCACCTCCAGCAACTGGTTCAGTTGCAAGGTTTTTTTCTCGGGTTTGTTGTGGAGATATCTTATTTGGCAACTTCGAGCGAAATCGGATTTCCTTCGGGGATCATCCGATAAAATTGGAACGATACAGAGAAGATTAGCATGGCCCCTGCGCAAGGATGACACGCACAAATCGAGAAGTGTACCAAGTTTTTTTTAGATCTCTTGATTAGATTTTTGAACTCTTCTTGAACAGGAACCGACGAGTGGCAAACGAAACTCATGTGGTGGCAGTCGCCACACACTTTAAACAACTTTCGGTGGTTACCGAAAAAGCTCTCACTCAGGTTACCAACATAATCTGGATCCTGGGCCTAGGTCTGGATGGGATCATCTTGCCTGTCCAGGCATTAAACCATGCATGCCTGTCCAGGCATTAAACCATGCCTGTCCAGGCATTTTAATGTCTGTCCAGACACCGGTGCATCCGGGGCAGCTCCATCTCCCCCAGCTGCATCTCCAGCCTGCTGGCCATCGTCCATCTGTCCTTTCAAGTGTATCCATCTCTGTATCTCTCTCTCTCTCTCTCTCTCTCTCTCTCTCTCTCTCTCTCTCTCTGTCTCTCTCTATCTCTCCCTCTCTCTGTCTCCCACCCGTATCTCCTGCAGCTCCAATTCCTGTCGGGGCATTGGGCCAGCTTCCACTTCCGGTGCCATTGTCGGCCTCAGGGAATTCAAAAGCGAAACCCAAAATATATACATGCACTCTGTGTCGGCCACAGCCTGCCAAGCTTGCTGTCCACTCCACGGGTCGGGGGCATCCTCATCAAATAAGTTTTACTTCAGTCACGATATGCATGCACAGACACAAGCATGCACTATCTCCTGGCCCCTGCTGGGTTGACGGTGTGCCCCAGCCACTGGTCGGGTCCTGTCGGGGTGCACCGAAAATATCCCACAGCGTGCAACACATTATATATGGAGATATGCACTTACGTGCCGGGCCTGGCTTGGCCACGAGTCCCACGAGTGGCCGGACCAGTCCTGGCATCAACTCATGCCCATGGTCTGTCCAGACCTTCAGAAATATTTGCACCGGGCCTGCCACCAGGCCGTCTGCCACTGCTGCCACCCCGGCATGCTGGGCTGCCACCATGCAGCCTCAAGTGCATCTTTAGCCCCATCGCTTTAATCAAAATGGTCAAAAAAATCAGTGCGAGCTCTGCAGCATCGTTCTGGGCGTCGTTCTGCTGCTGGCTCTGGTTGTCGGGGTCGTTCTGCTGGGGCTGGTTCTGGGCGTCGTTCTGCTGGGGTTGGTCCTGCAATTAAATCAAATGTTTCTGGATCCTATGAACCTTTTCTTGGTGCAGGGCTGGTCCTGTCCACCACCATACCCACCACCACTTCCACTGGCCCCAGCTCCCATGTTTTCCTGTCAAGCTTAAGTGGCTTCTTTTCTCATGTACATGTCAAGCATGACTGTCCAGTCATTAAACACGGCAACTACTGCACTTCTGATCCGGCCTGAACCTCTTGCCACCAGGGCAGCTCACTGGCCTCTGCTTGGCGGTCCCTCTCGGCCATGGCCTCCAGCAGATAGTTCATCATCTTCTCGTGTGTCTCAAAACGAGACTCCCTTAGTTCACACGTACATTTCTTGCATGTCTGTCCAGACATTATCAATGCATATTTTACCACTTATCTTTTCATATGTGGGTCAAGTTATAAGAACTTCCAAGTTTCCGGTACACTCGTGTGAAGAAGCTCCGGGCGGACTCTCCCGTACCTGGGTTCAGCTTCGACTCCTTGGCCGTGAAGTCCACCAGGCACTGCATCCATTGCCCAAAAGGCACCTCTGGATGCAAGCGGCCCCAAACGGCACGGAGGTTCCTTGGATGGAAACTCATCTTTCATGACTGTCCAGTCAATATAAACAATCTCTCATGTCCAGTCATTAAAGGATCATCCCTCGATCATGACTGTCCAGTCACTAAACATATATAGGGTGTCTGTCTAGACATTGAACTGCATATCTTGCAAACTTTTGTTCAAACACCATGTCTGTCCAGACATTGAAATGTCTATAAAAATTAAGCCACGTCACTCGCGCCAAAGTGCAGACATCGTTCCCTGCTGCACGTCGCGGCGGTCACTGAAGCCCTTGCCCCCGATCGCTGAGGGGGCATCTCTCCCTCGGCGATCGGGGGCGTTCGTACCAAGCAACGGGTCTTGCTTGCCCTTGCCGGAGATCGTTCCAGGCCCCATGGCACCGTGCTTCAAAGCTAGCTTCAGTGCTGTGCTTGGGCCAGAATGCTGCCCGTCACGAAATTTTCAACCCTCCAGCTCAATTGTCTCTCCAGA